CTGGCTGTTCTCTTGTCTCTTTAATCATGTTTAAACTTTCTTAGTTAATCTAGTAGTATTTGCTGTGGTATCAAAGAAGTACTTTGCTTTAAGTAATAAATGGAAAGCAAGTTAAATTGAAATATTTTTCTTTTCTTGCTGATCCAAAAAATAATCCGATCCGTGGGTCAAAAACCGTAATGTGACCCGAACTGTGAGATTTGTGATCCGTTGAACAACTAGAATATATAATATGAAAATAACACTGACCACTTCATCAATTTTTACTGCCTTTTCATTCAGTTTGATCCTCCCAAACAGGGCATTTCTGGCTAAAGGGGAAGTGAAGGCGGTGTGGACTCACATGCGCGGGGACAGCAGCAGCGCTCCGGGCAGCAGGGGCAGCTGACGTAACAGCAGCAGGTGTGAGGGCAACACTGACACCAGCAGATACCAATCAGGAGCAACAACAGCAGGAAGCCCAGGACCACCAACACCACTAACAACCAGTCTGGAGAACGAGAAGAGAAAAAATAAATAAATACACATTTGGGGGAAAGAGTCAAATCTCTTGCTTCAGATACTAATCAGAAGAATGAGGGCATTAAACAGAAAAGACTAAACATAAAAACGTGTAAATGCAATACTGGCTTAATTTCGGTTTCATGAGATTTTATTTCTGTTTCATTACTTATTTTGGTACTTTTCCACCATCCCTAATGCTTAGTAAATGTCATGAGATGGGTGCATTCATCTTCAGGTGTACATGTCTGTCAGTTCTGCAAGCAAAAATAAAAAAAAAGGAATAGAAATGTATTTGACACACAAAGAAAAACCAGCCGAACAGGTTTTGCCTCACGATACTCTGCCAGGGCTCGACTCCAGCATGCACCACAACAACACCCTACATGCACAGACACAACATGACTCATGTGCTAACGCAGATCTTAGAAACTATTCCACAATGGAATTTTTTGGTGGAAATTTCATCAAATCACAGACACTCCTCTTGCACCATCTAAATACATCTGGAATAACCCAGATTTTACAGCTAACAATAAGCCACTCAACTTACGCACATGGGCAGAAAAGGGCATCACACAACTTCAGCATATCTTTCATAATAATAACCTGGCACCATTCTCCCACTTGGTCCAGAAATACGGCATTGGGAGTAATTGTTTTTTGGAATACTCACAAACCAAATCATCAATTCAATCAAAGATTGACACTAGGACAATTAACCTAGACCTTTCCCCTCCAATCTCAGCGCTAATTAATATATCAAACTCAAAAAAACTACTCTACAAAATATACAGAATGATATCAAAATCAGACAATACATTAAGTTTACCAAATGTTAAATGGGAATCAGACTTATCTATTACTCCCGATGCTGCCTTCTGGACACAAATCTGTAAAAATATCTACTTCATGACAAAAAATGCCAACCTGCAACTTATACAGTATAAAGTACTTCATAGATTTCACCTAACTGGACGAAAATTATTTAAAATGGGTTTTACTTCAGAAACATGCTCACATTGTACACAAAACACCCCAGACACCTATTTTCACGCCATTTGGCATTGCACCTCAATTAAAACATTTTGGGAAAACGTTACTGACTCACTATCCAACCTTATGGGATGTCACATCCCATTGTCTCCCTCCCTCTGTATATTAGGTGACATATCCATAATCAATTTAAACAATACAAATAGTCAATTACTCCTAGTGGCTCTAACTATCGCCAAGAAAACTATCCTCATGAACTGGAAATCAAGGAACACCATACATATTACATCTTGGAAAAACTTACTAATAGAGTACATCTCCATGGAAAACCTATCAACTTCCACTCAAAATAATACAATAGAATTACACCCCTCTTGGTTATCTCTCATAAACTTCCATCAATCATGAATCTGCTGACCCTCTTTGTCTGAAGCCATCCTCAATGACACATCTTCATCAATATCTAAACAAGATTGGGGAAGGGGGGTTAGGAGGAGGTAGCAACAATGGCTAATATCAAACTTAATTAAATACTTATAAAAGATTAAATTTATTATAAATTTTTATTATTAATATTTTTTCTCCTTCATTTTTATTTATTTTTCTCTCTCTCTCTTTCTGTCTCTCTCTCCCCACTCTTGTTGACTTATATATATATATATATATATATGTGTGTGTGTGTGTGTGTGTGTATATATGTATATGTATGTGTGTATTAATAATTGTATGTGTATTAACAATTGGAAGTCGTGGCCTAATGGTTAGAGAGTGGGACTCGTAACCCGAAAGTTGCGGGTTCGAGTCTCATACTGGCAGGGATTGTCTGTCGGGGGAGTGAATGTACAGCGCTCTCTCCCACCTTCAATACCATGACTGAGGTGCCCTTGAGCAAGGCACCGAACCCCCAACTGCTCCATTGCTACTATTACTAATTACTAATTAATACTATTATTTTGCTATTTGTCATCTTCCACATCCTCCAACTTTCCCCTCATTTCTGATAAACTGAGTTCATTACTATTGTTATCATTATTATTATTTAATTAATTAATTTTTATTTATTTTTTATTATTAATTTATTTTTTATTATTATTGCTATTACTATTACTATTATTACTTATCACCTTCCTCATCCTCCATCCTCTGATTTTTGTTATTAATGCTATTATTATCATCATTATTACTATTGTCATCATTACTATTACGGTTTTCTACTATTGTTATGTCTGTTGTACTTTTCTACATGTTCCTTTGTTTATATACTTCCACCCCTCACACCTAGTCACACACACACACACACACACACACACACACACACGCACACACGCACACACGCACACACACACACTCACTCACACAAATCATGTTGGCTGTCATGTATGTTTTGTTGACCTTGGTTATTTTGTATTTGATTTGTCACCGGTAAATTGTATATCTGTTTACATAATAAAAAAAATAAAAAAATAAAAAACCTATTCCACAGTCTTGATGGAGAAAGCAAACCATCAAAATAAAATCCAATAGTTCTCCAATTTGTTCAGTTAGAATATCCATAAAATCTCAACCAAATTACAGGATTATGCAAATCTAGGCAAGTAGGCTATATATATATAGGCTAGTCAGTTGGCTAACTGTAAATTGCACTACTTTTTTTACATGACTGCTTACAAAACAAATAAATAAATGGATCTTTAATATTTTTAGCAGAAATTGGTTTATTACGTGAGAAGAAGGTTGTGGAGTGATGATATAGATATGAAACTGGATAAGATGAAACTGTTGTCTCAGGCATTATGCAAAGATATTTAACCACAGAATTCTGCCAATAAAAATCAAGAATTCAAATACGATGCATAATAATTAGCACCTGATCTCATTCGGAGTACACAACATACTTAATTTGACACAAATAAAAACAAGGCTGTAAGTGACAGAAGTACAGTTCATTCAATATTAATCAATATGAGTGAGCAATATGATGTTGTAAAATCTAATTTTCAGTGTTTTATCTGCTGGACGCTCAAGGGACACAATGACACAGCATTCAGGGACACAATGGGATACAATGACACAACATTTTGAACACACTGTTCTTCCATCCCACTGAAACCTTGTTTATGAATTAAAACATAAATAAATAATAATAAAAATAATAATAATAATAATAATAATATTATTTGGCGCCACCTATTGTTGTGGGTGTATTATTGACATGTCAAAGTCTAGACCCTGAATATAAGACGACCACGTTTTTTCAGATGTATTTCCAAGAAAAAAACATCATCTTATATTCGGGTCAATACGGTAATATATAAACAAAATCTTATAAATAATAAAATAAAAAACAAACAAATAAATACTATATAAAATAAAGAAATTAAATGAAAATGTAATAAATGAATAATGTACATTAAATAAAAAAACAATACAAAATACTTTCACAAAGTCAACTTACTATTTGTGATGCTGATCTGACGGCCCTGGTACTCGCTCCCAAGTGTGACCGCTGTTTGTTTCGAAGCTACTATGCGAACGGTCCTGGCGCTGTCTGCACACTCTATGTTAGGGTTGTAGTTTGGGTTGGACTGAGCGATGGCATTGTCAGCACTACTGGGGTTTAATGCAGCTTGTATCGGGTCTCTGCAGTAGGACTTGTATTTCCAGGTGATCAGTGGTGGGTTTGTAGCTGTTGTAGTGAAATCACAGCGGAGCGTGACCGGCTGGAATAATATGACTACGTGTCGTGGGTAAGGGCAGACCACGTTGACTGCTGTGGTGCAGCCTGTAGGAGAGGAAACACATTTGAATATAACAGCATCCACAAATAAATGAAACACAGGGAGATTTACGACATTCCCATGAATCTAGACATGAATTAAGAATACAGTGGAGATCAAATAACATCCAGACTGGACTAAAAGTCCTTTCAGGTAATAACAAAGACTCAAACCATGTCAAAAGACATTAAAAGGCTCTTATGAAAAGTCTTCAGACTTTCTGTAAAAAATATTCTTAAACACAAGGGAACAGATTATAATAAACCAGGTGAACCACATGAAAACTGATTGTGTCAGTGAAGATGTCAAATTTATCTTTAGTCTTTAGTAACTTCTCTTGGGCTTAGATCTATTGAAAGTGTTCTGAATGCTCAGGAAGCAAGCTGTGCACTTGAAAACGATCTTTCAGTCACTAAAATCACTAGTTTTTCACCAGTGAGTCATGATAATAGCTGTGTTTAAATCATCATTCTAGCTGTGAAAGTCAGGAGATAGGCTGTATTTATTTGCTCTAACAGACTAAAATCACAATAAATGTTCAAAGCAATGTTCGATGTAATATCTTCAGTAATATTTTTAACTGAATAAGAGTTAAAATTATAAACAACAGCTGCTCAAATCTGAAAAGTATTATAATTTTGGAAGGAACATTTATATACTCATTTGAACTGTATTTTTATAATCGGTGAAAACTTTTGATTATTTAAAAACACTTTTGAGGAAGAAAATATATTAAAGGGGTCATATGATGCGATTTCATTTTTTCCTTTCTCTTTAGAGTGTTACAAGCTCTTGGTGCATAAAGAAGATCTGTAAAGTTGCAAAGACTAAAGTCTCAAATCCAAAGAGACTATCTGAGGGTTATGGTTATCTATTAGGAAGTACTGCTAGAAGTAAATACAAAATGTGACATTTCATGCCTGATTAATAGGCATATTCCTGTTGTTAGACCTGATAGGTCTAAAATAAAGGAAAACCCCTAACATACAGCCCACGGAACAATAGTCTTTCACAGAAGCTACAATTAAACTGTCTTTTCAGGCAAAACTGTTTAATAATACCTTGAAAACGGATGCCATGACACATGGATGGCCTTTACAAGCCATAGACTCCAAAAACACTCAATTCTGAGCAATGTTTGGGATTACTAAAAAGGGTTTACAAAATGTACACACAGGTGACATCGCATTATGACATCAGGTTGTAAGTTAGTGTTAGTTTTAAAAGAGCTCATCGAATGTGACTCACTGTCTGACCGAAACCATTTCCGTCTGAATACGACATGACCACCTCCCACACAATCCACATTACCTGTTCCCTTAACAACAAACACCAAATGCACTTAAAGGTGACATATCATGAAAATCTGACTTTTCCAGGGTTTAAGTGCTATAATCAGGTCCCCGGTGCATCTACCAACCAAGGAAACGTGAAAAAGATTAACCCAGTAACTTTGTTTTGGTAAGCCTTTTTCTGCAAGCATCTGAGAAAACGAGCTCGTCAGATTTCGCTCCCTTGGTGACGTGGCAAAAGGATCTCATTATAATATTACCGCCCCTTAATCTGCAC